TTGTAAAGAATATCAATGAAAAGAAGCATGCAATGTTTGAAGGCTGTAGCTAGAATACTTTTCCTCCCAATTCATTTGGCGTTCCTATAAAAATCCGGAAAATGCAAAATTGAGAAAAATGAAAAAAAGTATAAAATTGTGTTTTTTTAAATTAGAGGTCTGCATGAACGATATAGGATGCATAAACCATGTACATGTACCATTCATGAATGAAAAAACAATTAGAAAACTAAGACAGAAAAGATAGAAAAAAAATTAACACACGAACCTAATTAAAAAAAATAATTCTGAAAAATTTTCCTTTGAGATATTTGTTTAAAAACCATCCATCATTAAGTAGAGAATGTCAATATAAATAAGGATGCAAAGTTTCAATTATGTAGTTCCAAATTATTCCTCCTGATTCATCAATTGACGTCAGAAAAAAAAATGAAAATGCTATATCGATAAAAGCTGAAAAAGACACTGACAAATGCTTATTAAAAAAATTAAAGTTAAAGGTTACTTGAACAACATTGGATGCATACATCATGAACACATTCCACTCGTTAATTTAAAAAACAACAATTTAAGTACATAAATATAATTGATAGAATATAAATGAATGCATTTTCCCAACAACCCACTAGCCTCGAGCCTAATAAAAATAATAGGATCATAAAAACTTCGGAATTTTGTTTATGAGACATGTAATAAACAAATCCATCAATTATTATGTAGAGAATATAATAGAAAAAAAAAGCTTGCAAATTTTTAAGCACGTGGTAATAATACTTTTCCTCATAATACATTTGAGGTCAGAGATAAATGGAAAATCCTAAGTGGACCACTTTAAAAAGAGAAAAAAAATCAATTAAGCAATATTAAATATATAGGAGTCAAATAAAATGAAATTTAAAGCATATCAATGTGAAATTATCTTAAAAGATAAGAATTTTCTAGATATTTTTACAAATGTTAAACAATATTGTAGAACATGTTAATGTTTTTTTAATAAGAAATCAATAGACCTTTAGGACTTTTTAGATAGTTTAGGAAACAAAAATCTGCCCAAGAAATATAATAAAAATGGTTATTACACAATTTTTTAAAATAATTTTCAGCACATTAAAAACATTTACATATTTATAAAAGTAGCTGAAATCTTTCGGAACCAATGATTGTGAATTAGCAGTGAACATAAATTTACAAGAACAAGTCAAGTTTTATAACGTATCTTTGAAGACAGAAGAGTTCTCCTTGTTTTCCCACACTGGCGGCATTTATGACAAAAGATTCATGAAATGTAGGCTACTTTTTTTTTTTTTTTTTAATCTTGTTCAATTTTGTTAAATGTTTATTGTACATGAACAAAAAGACGCTATTTTAGGCCTTTAGTTCCATCAGGTAAAGAGGAAAGTTTTAATTTTATATCACTAGAAATAATTAATCGCGCTTAAATTTCATTGCCTTAGCCTTAGACTTAGAAAGTTTAAGTAGTTAAGGAGTAGGTACTTTTGATTAGAAAATTAAAACTTTTTGTAAAAATAAACCAATGGCATAGGTGAATAAAGGTAATTTTTTAAAGAATTATAACACCAAAATCATATTTTTAGCTGTTGTTGATTTAAAGTTATGAATTTAAAGTACGACTTAATTTGTCCTTTTTTAACATGGACCGCATCTCCATTTTGTGGTACCCAATTCCGCTGTTGGCGTCACGAGCTATATAACTCTTGTTTTAATGATAATTTTATTTTCATTTTCAGAATTAATGCTGTATTAAAAAATAAGTTTAATATTGTTAACAATTATAGATAAATTGTAGCTTATCTAACTATGCACTATTTATATCAGTAAATTTAATATAATATAATGTATATCGGTAGTTAAATGTATTAATATATGGGCATGGCTTTTCAGATTTCTGTTTACCAAAGTCTTCAGCGTTATGCAAATGGCTGTGGTTTCCCATGACTTTTTTGCACACGGTCAATTCTGATGGCTAATAATATGGACTCTACCGGGTTTTTAAAGCTCAAATTTAAAAATGTTTTCAAAATGCATTCTGAAACACAAGTTATAAAATATTTTGATGTATATAGAGATAATAATGAATATTTCCTAAGCTAAGTATCTGCGTTTTCCGCCATTTAAAAGGGGGCGGGATCACTAATCCAAAATGGCCTGTGCGACCTTTGCATAATGAGGTCAACGTTGAGGAGAATTGTGAAAATGTTTCATGAGCTATCTCAATGAAATTTTGCACATGTGTGCTTCAACAAATTATGCAGGCCTACTTTTAATATGAAAGACCTACTTTGAATATTTAGACCGAATTTATTAATGCGAAGATGCCTTATATTGACATATGATTTTCCTCAATTAAAGTTG